TTTTTTTGTCATATTGTGATGACCAGAACTGGATGCAGTATTCCACATGTGGCCATACTGAGACTTTGTTAGTACCACTTTACAAAGCTTTAGTACAGCCATACTTGGAATTCTGCATCCAGTTTGGGTCACCACAGTATAAAGAACATGTTGAGACTCTGGGAAGAGTAAAGAGAAGAACAACTAAAATGACTAGGGGGCTGCAGGTTAAAATATACGAAGAACAGTTGCAGGATTTGGATATGTCTGTTCTAGAGAAAACAAGGACTAGGTGTGACTTGATAGTGGTCTTCCAATATTTGAGGGGCTTCTACAAAGATGGGGAGGGTATCAAACTATTTTCCAAAGCACCAAAAGGCAAGGCAAGAAACAATGGATGAAAACTAACTAAGGAGACAAGCATTCATAGAACTAAGGAGAAATTTCCTAACAGTGAAAGCAATCATTCAATGGAATAACTTGCTGTCGGAAGTTGTGGGTGCTCCATCACTGGAGGCTTTCAAGAAGAGACTGGGTGGCCATTTGTCTGAAATGGTATAGAATCTCTTGTTCAAGCAGAGGCTGGGCTAGATTACCTCCAAGATACCTTCCAAGCCTATTATTCTATGTTCCATCTCAGCTTGTAACTGCTATAAACAGGTAGAAGTTTCAAGCTGCATTTTACCCATCAGACTTCCAGAGTTGGGAGGTAACATCCATTTCCTGCCTAAGCGGGGGGTTAGACTGGAAGACCTCCAAGGTCCCTTCCAACTCTCCTCTCCTCTCCTCCTCTCCTCCTCTCCTCTCTCTTCCCTTCCCTTCCCTCCCTTCCCTTCCCTTCTCTTCCATTCCATTCCATTCCATTCCATTGCATTCTAAATCACTGTTATTCTCTATTAAAATACTTCCATTTTAATCAATTTAAAATGCCGTTCAGATCATCTGTCCTTGTTTTGTAGCACTAATGGATATCCTGAATTCCTAACACAATTGATTATCTCAGCCCTGAAAAGTACTGCGGAGATAACCCATTTTCCTCTTTCTTTTTCCATCCCCTCTCCCTCCTCAAGGATTCTCTACAGCACATTTTACCATTTGGCAGAGGCTCATGAGCCTTATTTTGGCTACTACTTCTTCAATGCCCTCCTGATGCTCGTGTATATTCTCGATGTTCTCTGGTCCTGCGTGATCATCCTCATGCTTTATAGGCTCCTGACCCATGGCAAGGTAAGGGCAGAAATTGGGCACTTGTGAACTGGGCACATGGGAACAGAAGGTACGTGTTGGGGTGGAGGGAGAAGACCACCAATTACCATATTTTTCAGGTGGAAATGTCTGTGCATCTTATAGAGTGCCTTTTTTTGGCCTCCTGAAACCTCTGTATATCCCGTTTTTGCCCTCTCTGGCACCCAAAAGGCCAAAAATGGGCCCACTCTCGGCCACCCAAAGCCACCACACATCACATTTTTTGACCTTCCTGACATCAGGGAGAGCAAAAACGGGACCCACAGAGGCAAAACACTGTTGTTTTCCTCCTCTAAGCCTAAGTGTGTCTTATGGTCCAGTGCGTCTTACAGTCCCCAAAATATGGTACTTTCGTTTAACCCTACTCCACCTTTGCTTTTATTCCATGTTGAGTCTGATGCAAGATTCCTGGACTCTGCTCTCATCTGTGATAGGCGGGTGAGAATTGGAATGGAAGAAACCACATATGCTCAACCATGCTCCCTAGTCAAAATAGATTTTTAGACACAAACAGTTATGTTACCACACACTCCTAAATGGTGGCCTTATAATGGCAGTAGGAAAGGACGTAGGATCAAACCAGTGGTGGGGTTCAAATTTTTTTACTACCGGTTCTGTGGGTGTGGCTTTGTGGGTGTGGATTGGTGATCATGTGACTGGTTGGGTGTGGCCATATTGTCATGTGACTGGGTGAGTGGGACCCAATTTAGCAGTCCATTTTGCCCATTACCAGTCCATTAAACAATACACACCTGCCTCCTTTTCTATTCTGGCAAATCAGCTGAGCTAACAAACAACAGAATATAGGAGAGGTGAGAGTGCGGCTGGATGGGCAGGGCCAGTCAAAATTTTCCCTACCGGTTCTATGAACCACTTAAAATTTTCCCTAAAGGTTCACCCAAACTAGTCCAAACCCCCTGAATACCATCCCTGGATCAAACCCACCGCAACACCCAGTCTATAGGGTGTTCCCTTGTCACCGCTGGACACAACCTGAAAATCCTAACCCCAGGGTTTTTTTTTGTGGGGGGGAGGAATATTAAACATCAGGACCCCAATAAGGGACCCTGTCCCCCTCCCATCTACAACAGCCAAGCAAGCACACTAAAACTCTTTGGAAAGATTTCAGGGAGACCCAAAAGACTCCATGCTGCAGCATCTCAATTTCTGGTCCCTCTGGCAATTTGTTATGGTGGGGGGCCACCCACCTTCATTTTCATGGTAGAAAATGGGTCCCCAAAATGTACAATCCAGACACTGGCTGTGTTCAAGTGGGAGTCATTCTACAACCCCTCAACCCCAGAGCTTCAGGAGTGGAGAAGGACCATGGATTGGGTTTTTGAAGAGATACCAGAATGTGGTATATCTGAACCTTGCAGGGGGTTCAAGCCCCCATGCCTCTTAAACATTTTTTATTTTTTTTATTAATTACATTTCCTATTGCTTAATATACATTGTGTCTGGGTATTCCATTTGCTTAACAATGCATATTATGTTCTTAATCTCCACCTCTTTTTTCCAACCACTGATAAAATAGATTCCATGTCTGGTAATATTCTGTATCTTCTTTCTGTTTCATTTTTAATGTCAATCTGTCCATTTATGCACATTCTAGTGTCTTCTTACTTATTTCTTCATCTCCTGGTGTTACCATTTTTCCAGCATTGCGCATATACAACCCTCATTGCTGTCAAGATGTGCAATATTAAATACATACTTTTTTTATTAGGTTTACCTGATATTATACCTCATAAAACCATCCCTAATAAATGAATTATGTCTGTTCATTAGGTTTAAAATCTACATGCTTTCCAATAATCTTTTCTAGCCATTTACGTATTTTTCTCTTTTTTTTTTTTGCTTTACTACAAGTCTACCATATAATATGTGCCCGTTTTTTTATTCCTTTTCCAACATTTGCTAGACATATTTTTTAAAATTTTAGCTAACTTAGCTGGTGGTAAATGGCATCTATAAAACATTTTATATAAGTTTTATTTTATGTGAAGTTGCCATTAACAATGGCCTCTTTAACATATCGAAGCCCCTTCTTCTAAAGAGCCATGGGCTTGCCTGTATGCCATGCAAAACATAGCATGGCCCTTGGGTTGTATGAAAAATAAGCATCTCCAATGGAAAAGGCCAGTTGTGTGTTCCCCAAAAGGGATTTTTTCCCTCTGATGGACTCCAATCGAGCAGGATTGAAGAGAGGTGATGTTCCATACTAGCAGGCTTGTAGGCCTGCATTCCTATTGGTCCAGAAAAGCTGGGCCATGATTGGACAGACCTAAGCGTTCTGATTGGTTCTAAAACCAAGCGCGGCAAGCTCAAATGCATGTCATAGGCTGCCTAGCTGCAGCCAGCTGTATAAAAGGAGCTGCCTCGGCCGGGAGTCTTGTCTCAGTATCTGGTTTCCTAATAAAGAGCTGTTGTCACTATTTCGAGTCTCGTCTCTCCTTGGGACCCACCGCCCAGACTTAACACTGGTGACGAGGATGGGATTCTGAGACAACAGAGCTGACTAGAACGTGGCAGAGAGCGCATAGATGACCTGCAAGATGGCCAGCAGCGCCGTGCTGCCCGCACAATTCAATCCGGCCAGCGAGGACTGGGAGTCTTACATTGGAATCAAACAACCTGAAGGACGCCACTGGCAGCAAGAAGCGAGCGGTTTTTCTAACACACTGCGGACCTGCCGTTTTTAAAATGGCCAAGGCACTCGCGAAGCCAACAGACGTCCAGACCATGGATTGGGATACCCTAGCTCCCATCCTCCAGAACCACTATGCCCCGGCAGTGCCGATTCTCATCCGTCAGCATGACTTTTACCAGAGGGATCAGCGCGAGGGTGAGAGCATTGGAGAGTTCGTAGCCGACCTGAGGGACCTAGGAGGCTTGTGCAGATTCACCAATCTAGACGAGGCCATGCGTGACCGAGTCGTCCTCAGCCTGAAAGACCCAACTCTCCAAAGCAGACTGATGGCTAAAGGAGACATCTCCTTCGCTGACACTGTAGCAGAAGCCACCACAGCCAAGGCCACTCATAAGTCAGCGGTGTGAATGTGGTGTTCAAACGGAAATGACCGCCAACCCACCAGCGAGACAGCAACCGCAGCAGACAAACACGCAGCATCCACCCACCACGGTGACATCAAATCCCCCTCTGACATCGAAGAGGAAGAAATTCACAGACTTCAATCGGAACGCGAGCGACGAGACCGGCACGGGCGTAAGTCGAGTTACCAATGTGCTGGCTGTGGAGGAAATCACCCGCGTTCCGAATGTGAGTTCCTGGACACTGTTTGCCGTTTTTGCTAAAAACAAGGGCATATTGCCAAAGTATGCCGTAACAAATGAAATCCCAGCCCCTGACAATGGGGAAACAGCCCAAGAAGAAGAGATGGCACCCCCACCATAAACCAGTACCACCATAATGACAGCTGATGGAACCGGGACAGCTGACCCAGGAAGTTCATCGAGTCACCCAGAAGAGAAGAAATGCACCAAACAGTCACCATCACCCACGCTTCATCAATAGACGCACAAAAGATACATGTAGAGGTCAACATCGAGAATCAGCCTTGCACCATGGAGGTAGACTCCGTTTCCTCCCTCTCTATGGTCTCCTGGAGGACCATCAAAAGACTAATTCCCAGCATCCGCCCCCAAGAGCTTAGCAACCAGAAGCTAATATTAAGAGACTATCAAGGTAATTGCATTCCGGTCGTTGGCACTGGATATTTTCAAGTCTCGTTCAGAAACCACACCACCATCCTACCACTCACAATCGTCGATAAAGACAGACCCAGCCTACTCGGGTTGCAGTGGTTCACACCGTTGGGGATCGAGATGGCAGGCATCAACCACACAGAAGACAGAAACTGGGAAACAACACTCATCAAGGACTTCCAAGAAGTCTTCAGTGAACATCTAGGCAAGTACAAGGGGTCCCCTATCTCCTTTAATCTCAGCCCTGACATTGCTCTCATCCGTCTCAAGCCACGCCAAGTGCCTTTTGCACTCAAGCCTAAAATAGACGAACAATTAGACAAACTAATAGCGCAGGGCATGTTAGAACCCATCGATCATGCCCGTTGGGAGACCCCAATTGTCACCCCCATCAAACCCGATGGCTCCCTGATAATTTGTGGTGACTACAAGGCCACCCTCAACCACGCATTGCAGCAGAGCGCCTGCCCGGTGCCAGTAGTCCAACATCTCCTGCACTCACTAGGGGGTGGCAAGGTCTTTGCAAAGCTTGACCTGGCTGAAGCTTATCAACAACTGCCAGTCGATGCTAAAACTGCCGAAGCCCAAACAATAGTGACACATAGAGGGGCATTCAAATGTAACCAGCTCCAGTTTGGGGTCAGCATCGCACCGGGCAGTTTTCAAAGTCTAATGGAGAGATTGTTGCAGGGAATTAAAGGAGTCGTGCCCTATTTCAATGACATCCTGGTAGCAGCCCCTACCAAAAAACAATTGGAAAAACAACTGAGGGCGGTCCTACAGAAATTCAAAGACACTGGCCTCAAGGTGAAAAAGGAAAATTCAACCCTTTCAGTGCATAATTGGCACTTTTCCTTTTTCATTTATGGTAGGACATTTTCCATTATTACAGACCATATTGGCGGGTGACAAACCCACTCCACACATCTTGTCACCAAGAATGACAAGATGGTCTGAATTTCTTGCTGCTTATAATTACAAATTGACACATCTCCCTGGCAAGACAATCTCACACGCTGATGCCTTAAGCCACTTCCCCTTGCCAGACTTGCAAGAGGACCCAGCACCCACATTAGCAGTCTTGCAAATTGAAATGATCCCCATGCCACCAGTAACCACGCAAGACATTGCCCACAAAACTAGGAAGGACAGATGCTTGGCGTGAGTTCTCAGCTGGGTGGAGAGGGGATGGCCAGAAACCGAGCCAAACGAACTTTTTAAACCGTTTAAAAACCGGCAAACTGAACTCTTTTTGCAAAAGGGTTGCGTGTTGTGGGGAGACCGGGTAGTAATACCAGAGACACTACAGAAAAAAGTTTTAGACTTGCTGCATGACGGGCACCCTGGTATTGTACGCATGAAAGCCCTGGCCAGGAGCTATGCTTGGTGGCCAGGCATGGACAAGCAAATTGAAACCTGCGTCGCCGCTTGTAACAGATGCCAAGAGACTTGCTCGGCTCCCTCTAAGGTCCCACCATTAGAATGGGAAACACCCAGAGGCCCTTGGTCACGCATCCATATTGACTTCGCAGGGCCAACCAAGGGGCACACCTTCTTATTCACTGTTGACACGTATTCAAATTGGCTCGAGGTGAGCACAGTGAAGACAACCACCACAGAAGCTGTCATCAAGAAATTAAATAGACTTTTTGCAACGCACATTCTGCCAGATGTTATCATTTCTGACAACAGGCCACAATTTACCGCCTTAGCTTTTGAACAATACTTGGCAGACCGCGGCATCCGAGAGGCATTGACATCGCCAGCTCACCCGGTGGTGAATGGTAGAGCTGAATGCATAGTTCAATTTACAAAAGAAACTCTGCACAAAATGGAACATGGCGACATCCACGAGAAGATCGCCAGGATGCTTCTTCTACAACATATCACACCAAATACCACCACCACCAAGAGCCCAGCAGAGTTATTAATGGGCAGAAGACTCAGGTCACCTCTAGACCACCTGCACCCTGCTTACACTCTAGAAAACCCCCTTGGTTCCAGCAGCAAGCACCGTGCCTTCAAGGTAGGAGACACTGTATTTGCCAAAAATTTTACAGGGGACCCACTTTGGATCCCTGTAAAAATCACCCAAGTCACAGGCCACCGCCCCTACCGGCTCAAGACCACCGATGGGAGGTCGTGGAAACATCATATCGACCAGTTAAGATCCAGGCTGGTCGCTTCCCCCCTCATAGACTCTGGGGGGGGGGGGACCTCAACTTCAGAAAATGAACGAACATCTGTACATGTAGAACACCCCCCACAGACATTAAACAAAAACCAACAATACTTACCAGCCAGAAGGGAGTCATGGCAGATGGGCACTTCGCCTGGAAGCAGCGGCCGGACAAGCTCCACCAGCCCAGAGAGCCCAGGCGGGAGCAGCAGAGCAAACGACTCAACCGACCCGGAATCACCAGGTGGGAGTTGCCGCCAGAGGACCGGCTCACCCTTCCAGGCAGTTCCATCTTGCAGCTTGAGAGTGACGCAGAGCCCGTCCGAACCCAATGGGGAACAGAGACACTGTGAACTGCGCAAGTCTAGTAGGCAGGTACGAAGACCCGCCTACTTGCGTGATTATGTTACCCCGCCCCTTGGACGGAACCAAGAGGGGAGGGGTGTTCCATACTAGCAGGCTTGTAGGCCTGCATTCCTATTGGTCCGGAAAAGCTGGGCCATGATTGGACAGAACTAAGCGTTCTGATTGGTTCTTATTCGGCTGCCGTGATTGGGTAAAACCAAGTGCGGCAAGCTCAAATGCATGTCATAGGCTACCTAGCTGCAGCCAGCTGTATAAAAGGAGCTGCCTCGGCCAGGAGTCTTGTCTCAGTATCTGGTTTCCTAATAAAGAACTGTTGTCACTATTTCGAGTCTCGTCTCTCCTTGGGACCCACTGCCCAGACTTAACATCTCTGTTTCTCTGTTGTAGATGGTAAAGGATGCACGGAGTGACTCAGAGAACAGCGAGGAAGAGGATGTGGATGAAGAGGACCAGAAGACAGAACAAAAAAATACACAAAAACAGCACCATTGTCAAGGAATTGCACAACATGTGTCCAAATGAGGTCATAGACACTAACACGAACTTGTAGTTTGGACTAGATGACCTACAAAGTCTATTTCTATTTCTATTTCATTCCTATCATTTCTATTTCTACATCTACTTCATTAATTCTATTCTATATTCTGTTCTATATTCTATTCTGTTCTATATTTTATTCTCTTCTATATCCTCTTCCATATTTTCCTCTTCTATTCATTTTCTATTCTACTCTATTCTAGTTCTATTCTAGTTCTATTTCTAGTCCAATGAGTTCTACTTCTATTGTCAGGCAAACAAGAGCTTCATGAGGTAAATCACAAACAATGTACAGCGCACATAGAAGAAAAAGGCGGGAAAGGGGGAAACTCCCCCTTTACACCCACAGCAACCAATCATAGCAAAGATTGCCTCATGCAGGAGCCAGCACTCTCTACAATGGAGGTGTGTGCATACGGGCATGTGGACATGCTTGCCAGCCACTTGTGCAAACCATCCCCACTTCTTCCCCCGACTGGTCTGCAAAGCCAGAAACATTGGGGAGCTCCAAGAATATAAAATGGACTTGAGAATTAAGGTGAAGTTAGATATTTGACTTAACATGAAACTGAGCCTCTGCAGGCAAGATTGAGTTTCAATAGAGGAATTGTAGCTCTTGGTTGA